TGTCAGTATGGGTAGGTTTATGAAATATGGAGAAGTCATGTTTGTTTTGAAGTCTGCTAATTTTTAAATCTAAAAATTTTTTCTCCCCTCCTCAACCTATTTTATTAGAGACTATAAATTTGTAAACCCAAGCCAAAAATAGATCACTTGAGAAAGGCTATCAGCCGAAACAGCTGTAGTGATAAGATTTAAAATAAATTTTGTGGAAGTTTGAAAACAAAGTTTTCAGTGTTTTATTGTTACATAAAATGAATTTCCATGAAGTAACGGTCGAATCCATCAATTAAATTATTAATTGTGTATTGACATAGGCAATTTAATACAAATTATCTGTGACACATATTCTACTTAAAAATAAGAATGTGCAAGTAAATTCCTAATGTTTACATTATCATCTTCATATATGCGCTCGTCAGGTAAATATTCATCATCTACAGCTTAAGCTGGTGCTGGTCTAGTAAAAATACATTCATAAAAGTACCTACTTGATACAGAAATGTAAGGCATTAAGTCCTTGAGGACTTTAATTTTTTGATCTGATAGTGGAATTCTCTGATTGGTAAGTGGGGTTAGTGTAACTTCGCATGGACTACTGCTTAATGCAAGCCCAGACAGTTGAGCTGAACGTGTAGCACATGTTGCTGTCTTTCTTGATAAATCCATTACCTTAAAATAATCTGAATCAAAAGAAGTTTTATAAGACTTCTTTTACCCTTTTTACCCCTAACCTTTTGAAAGTTTCTTATAAAACTTTCTTATTTCCTGGCTTATGTGAAGCCAGGAAATATTGTCATCGTCAGTATTTAGTTTGCGATGCACGTAGTGACTTTTTAGAATTTATGAGAACATCAGGAAATCTTTTTGTTCCATTTCTATAACTTCAATAGAAGGATTTCTCGGAGCCATTCTAATTAAGTTCGCCCAGTCTCTGGGTACTTCTATTTTGACAGTTGTATATTTCTTGACTTTTTAATAGCTGCTTAACTAGCAATAGCAATTTATGATTGATCACAAGATCTCTTACATTTCTATTAAAATCTTCTGTAAAAAGAGGCAACATAACAGCAACATAAATATTTTTTGTTTGTCTTGAACAGCGGCCACTGTACATGTTAATTTCATTAATATTTGCCGGTAAGGATATAATATAATATAGTAATAATATATAGTGCCTTCACAAGATGCTATTTCTTGTCCTCCTTCAGCGTCTATTGATTTAAACAAACGGCATGTTTATTTTTATTTATGCAGCTGTATATAGTGAGGTTTAAAGTCCTTTTGAAGCATGGTTGCAGCTTAGCATTTTTCTAAATCAAATGACAAAAATGCAACACTTTCAGAATTACATCTTCGGAATTTATCATATTTTGTCTCCTTGTATACACGATCTGCCATGGCAATATGCTGGCTATAAATCTCTTTATGAACTGCTTGTTCTTGCAAATCACAAGTTATATCAATTAATGAATTATACCGATCGCACTTTGCACAAGTATCATTAGAAGGAGGCTGAAATGACAAGTTAAATTTTTCGACGAATTTTTTTCTATAAAATGACTCTAGGTCAGGTGTTACATTGTGGGAACTACAATAATCTTTGTATAGCCAACACATTTTCGAAATGTTTAAATCTTGAGACAAATATTTTTTTTTCAGTATGCAATCTTGAATAATGGCCTACATGCGAAGGAAAACTTTTAATATTCTCTTCTATTATTGTAACTGCTTCCTCAGTGACTTTCTGTTGGTATCCATGCCTTCCTCTTTCGTTTTAGGGCAGATACCACTTGTACAGTCTCTTTTCTTCTTAGCTAATACTTTTATTTTTTCTACTAATTGTGTGGTGTGTGTACCAAACTTTTCCTTCTTAACTCCACCAATAAGTCTCATGCCAGCGGTTGTATAACAACCTCATGTTATTAAGCCCTTCGCAGAAGGCACGTATGAGAGTTTCTTCTTTTATTTCGCACAAATGTCACCATGGTTTATTTATTCCTGGTGTATATATTCTTTCTCACTTGAAAATGTCAATTACCATCTGTGTGACAGTGTGACCGGTTTCATGTGAACAATTAAGATTGCTCTGATGGTTAATAAGATTGATAGAACACGCTGTATTATTTTAGACGAGTGCACAAGTTTAAAACTTTTATCAAACTTAATTAAGCATTTTTACAAAACATATTTATACATTCGTTTATTTTGTATCTGAATACGATAAGAAATCTTTGCAGATGTTAAAATTTTCCATTCATGATCGAACTTTTTCATGTTTATATAATAAGTGGCATTGAAATTAACTTTACAATATTTTACAAGGCCAACTCTAATGTCAAACGATATTGAACTATTTAAACAAATTTAAATACGAATATGATTTTTCTTTAATTATTTTATACAATACTTTTAATTGTTGATTTCTAGACCCAACTAGTTATTTATATTAAATACCAAGGTTCCAGAGATTCATAACGCGCAAAAAATAAGGAAGTTATTCATTTATATTGTCACAATAAAATTCATTTATCACATTTAAATTGATATCTTCCATCAAAAATACATGTAATACAATATTTTATTATTTTAAATGTTTTTTTTTTAAATAATATCTATATTAAGATATTTTGTTTAGCGAGAGACAAAGAATTTTTTTTATTTCTATTAGATGTGTTTAATATGTACAGTGACGTAGCCTGCATTTAATTTTGGGAGGTGCTCACTTATTTAGGTGAGAACTTCACCTTTAAAAAACGTTGAAAACTTCAATTCACACCTAAAATTGTTTGACTTTATAGAGTATTTATTTTAATATTTTTTAAGGAAGGAATAAAATGACTGCACTGCAATGATTTGGATAGAGTATTTTTTTATTAATAAAAAATAATAAAGTTTATAAAAAACAATATAAATAATGAGCTAGAGCTGCTTTTAGAAGGATGTCCAAGGTGTTATGTAACAGAGACCTAAAATTGACATTAAGGATCCGCCTACTTCGCTGCTACGTGTTCTCGGTCTTACTTTATGCTGTCGAGTCCTGGACTGTGAATAAAATCGATCTAAATCGCCTTGAGGCTTTCGAAATGTGGTGCTATAGAAGAATTTTAAAAGTTTCCTGGGTGGAGAAGATTCGTAACTCCACAATACTTGAACGTCTCAGCAAGACCACTGAGATCATAAAAAGCATCAAGCAGAGAAAGCTGGAATATTTCGGACATGTAATGAGAGGTCCCAAATATAGATTGCTACAAAATATCATGCAAGGAAAAATAGCAGGCAAACGCAGTCCAGGACGAAGAAGAACCTCATGGTTGAAGAACTTGCGAGATTTATATGGTGTAGATACAAGCATGCTATTTAGGGTGGCAGTGAATAAAATTAAAATAGCTATGATGGTAACCAACGTTCTGAAAGGACATGGTACATGAAGAAGAAGAAGAATATAAATAATAATTAAGACTTAATTTCAAGTACTCTTTCGAATTATTTTTCTCTTAAAGATTCCAAGTAGTTCTCTCGTTGTTTTGTGATAAAATCCCTGTTTCAGCCCCATATATCAAAATAGGTCTTATTAAGGTCTTGCATAAATGTTGAGCTTTACTGCACGTTTTAGGTTTTGACTCAAGATGTTTCTCAAGACAACGAACCTTCCTAGCTTTGATCTGATTTGCTTTAAAAGATGTAGTTAGTTTGGAATTTTTTAGCAAGAAAGGTTTTAGCAACAGAGTTTTGTTTTTTTTTTTCACTCATTTGCATCAAGTTCACTAAATCACTTGCCGCGTTCGTAAACTTTCTTAAAACTTGTCCCCCTTTTTCCAGCTTATATATATATATATATATATATATATATATATATATATATATATATATATATATATTATAAGGATCACTCAGACGAGTGGTGGGTTCTTATATCGGTCTCAAGGTGGAGAAATAAAAGACAAAGTTGATAGGCTACTTTATCTATTTTGAAGACGTTTCGCTTTCGTATTCTGAAAGCATCATCAGTTCATCTAAAAATACAATATGAGAACCACACAATCATGTAGAAGATTTTATAAGTGATACCTTAAAAAGACATGTAGCAGTCAATGATATTAACAGATTTGTGAGTAAAACTCAAGTAAATGGACATTATACGGTAATATTGTATAAACAATCAATTAACTAACAACATTTAGCAACTTATTAAAAAATTAGCACAGCAACAGAACATGTGGTCTAAAGTACAAGTAATATTTTATTTTATATTAAGCAGTGAAAAAGAACTAAGAATATCATGGATTCATTTCCAACTATTTGATAATTATTTAAGCTTTGATTTTGACTTTAGGTAGCATTATTAAAGTAATTTGAATAAAAAATTCTTTAAAAAATGTAGTGTAAATGAAGTTACGGATCAAAGCCTCACAACTGCCGCCGGGAAAATGGCGTTAATTGAAACAGACCGAACTAAACCGTGAAAAGACAGCCAACCTTGAGGTCAAAAATTTGACAACAGCAAGGTAGAAGTACCACCCCAAATAATTGGACGGTGTATTTAAAAGTTCAAATGAGTTTGGATGACAACCCGCTTGCAAGAGACAAACCAATGAAAGAAATTGGTATTATAACAGCAATTCCTCGCATTAACCAGTCTAGAACGAACATACAGGCGAAATTCATTCAACCTCATATATAATTAATAAACGTCAAACATTATGGCTGGATAATCCGCCACAGGTGATCAACGAAAAAATAATTTCCACAGTCCAAGGTTCAACCACTTGGAAATAACAGCTTTAGAAGATCGTTTAACACGCCCCCTTTCAAATGCCTCCAGTTTGTTCACGCACTCTTCATTCAGCGTCCATGCCTCTACCATATACAAAATAATCAAGAAAACAACATTTAACCTCCACAATCCATAAATTCTTCTTGTCATAATTGATTTAATGATCTTGAATATCATGTTTCTTTTGAATTCGATAATCTATAATTAATATTATGGTTTTTTTTTTCAGTGATATGCAGTAAATAGCGCTGGACCGCTAATGCTGTAACCATAAACAGCAGTTTTGTTTTGGTAAGTTCAAATCGTTATAGATGAAACAGTTATAATACGAGGACTTTAAAAATTAAACCATATCCATATCACCAAAATTCTAATCAACCCCAGTATTTTAAAGTTCCAGATTTTTCGATAAATGAATGTTTGTATAAATAACTCATTGTTTTTGGTGTTATGTGTGAAAAGATTTGTTTTTACAATACTCGTTATTTTTTCATAAAGCTGGTTTACTTTTTATAGGTTATTTAAAAATAATTATTATTAATTACCTTTTTTTGTGACATGGATAGAACATGGTGTTCATTATGTACAATATCATCAATCATAATATATCAATTTTAGTATGTTCTTCTATCTAGAAGATATAACTATTATTATCTTCTTCTTCTTCATGTACCATGTCCTTTCAGAACGTTGGTCACCATCATAGCTATTTTAATTTTATTCACTGCCACCCCAAATAAGCCACCCCAAACTATTATTATGGGTGATTTGAATTCGAAAATTGGTAAAGGGAAAAGCGGTGAATTATTTGGTGATTTTGGTTTAGGGAAGAGAAATGAAAGGGGAGAAAGATTTAAACTATTTGTAGAGAAAGAAGAATTTGCAATACTAAATACATGCTTCACACTATCACCAAGACGTTTGTATACTTGGGCATCTCAGCAAGATCAACTAGGAAACATAATAAGGAATCAAATTGATTACATAATAATGAACAACACATTCTGTAATGGATGCCTATCTGTAAAAAGTTACCCCGGTGCTGACGTATCGTCAGATGATATTCCTGTTATTGGTAAATTAAAGTTTAGCTTTAAAAAAAGTTACAAAAAAGAATCCATCCATCCATCCAATGGCACTACAGCCCAAGCCGGGCCTTGGCCTCCTTCATTAAACCTCTCCAAACATCTCTATTTAATGCTGTTCTTTTCCATGAACGCGTTTTTAGGAGATTTTTGGCATCTTCATCTACCTCGTCTTCCCATCTCTTTTTTGGTCTTCCAACAGGTCTTTTTCCTTGCATTCTTGCGTTTAGTAATTTTCTGGGGATTCTGTTCTCATGCATGCGGGCCACATGCCCTGCCCATCGTAATCTCTGTAGTCTAGTGTATTGTGCTAGTGTTGGTTCAGTGTATTGTTCGTATATTTCGTTATTATATCTAATTCGCCAGTTGTTATTTTCCTTTAGTGGACCCAGTATTCTACGCAATATTTTTCTTTCGAACACGTCTAATGCATTGGTAGATTTCTGTGTTATAACCCATGTTTCAAACCCATAACTTACTATGGGTCGGATTATTGTTTTATATACCCGGGGTTTTATTTTCCGGTATACGTCTCGCGATTTGAATATGTGGCCCATCGCGAAATAGGCTTTGTTTGCCAGCATAAGCCTTCTATTTATTTCCGGTTCTTCTTCATTATTTTCGACCAGATCCATTTCTAAATACGTGAATCTATTCACGTATTCTATATCGTCTATAAATTGTTGTTGTTGTGCCTGTCTATTTGATCTGGTTTGTATGAGTAGTTTTGTTTTATTTGTATTTATTGTTAGCCCTACAACTTCTGAACTCTGTTTCAACTGAACGTAGGTTTCTTCTGCCGCAGTCTTTGTTCTGCTCATTATGTTTATGTCATCTGCGTATGCTGCTAATTGGGTAGATTTGTTTGTAAGTATGTTATTTCTGCTCAACGTCAACCGTCTAATTACATATTCAAGAACAAGATTAAAAAGTGTTGGAGCCAGTCCGTCACCTTGTTTCAGTCCTTGCGTTGTCATAAACGCATCAGTGATCTGTCCTTGAATACATACATGTGCTTCTGTTTCTGTCATTGTCATTTGCACTAGTCTTATTAATTTAGATGGTATGCCAAATTCTTGTAATATATTAGGTAGTATTGTTCTATCTATTGAATCATACGCTTGCTTGAAATCTACAAAGAGATTGTAGACGTCTATGTCATATTCCCATGCTTTGGCTAGTATTTGTTTAACTGTAAATAGTTGGTCAATAGTAGATCTATTTTGTCTGAACCCTGCTTGATATTCCCCGATAATTTTTTCAGTGAGGGGTTGAAGTCTTCGATTAAGAATGTTTGTGAGTATTTTGTATCCCGAACAAAGTAAAGAGATGCCTCTATAATTCTGGCATAACAGTTTGTCTCCTTTTTTATGAATAGGGCAGATTATACTTTTCTTCCATTGTTGTGGGATTTTTTCTTCTCTCCATATTTCTTGTATAAGCTGCCATACATGGTACAAAAAAGAATAATAACCAAAAATGTGATATGAAAAAACTAAAACATAAGGAAACAAGGGATACAGATTCTTTTAGAAAAGGTAAGTAACATGGAGCAAACATATGATTCAGAAAAATCACTCCAGAATATATCTGAAACCTTTAACAAGATCAGAGAAGAACACCTAATAGAAAATAAAGAGGAGAGGAAAAGTTGGATAAATGACAACATACTGCAACTCATGGAAAAAAGAAGAAAATCAAAGAATAACAAACTAATGGACAAAAATATTAAGAGACAAATACGAACCGAAATACGAAAGGCCAAAGAAAATTGGTTAAAAACACAGTCTGAAGACATAGAGTTGTTGGAACAAAATCTCGATACATTTAATATGCATAAAAAGGTAAAACAAGCAGATAGTCTTAAAAAATCTAAAACAGCTAGCAAACTGCAAGATCAACAAGGGAACATCATCACAGATAAAAATCAAGAAATATGCGTATGGACCAAATACATACAAGATATAGATTAATGATCATATATAAGATATAGATCATATATTAATGATAATAGGTCCGAACAACCTCTGTCCTACATATGTAATGACCACTTACCAATCACATTAGATGAAGTGGAAAAAGCATTATCACAACTAAAAGATTTTAAAGTTATTTCTAAAGATCATACATCAAAGAATATATGTATATTCGAAGAAAAAATCAGCCATACACAGTTTGGTTTTCGGAACACAGTGAGTACGAGAGAGGCTCTTTTTAGCACACAAGTGCTATTTCAACGATGTAGAAATGTGAATTGCGATATTTCTGCATGCTTTATTTATTACCGTACAGCGTTCGATAAAGTAAAACACGACAAGCTGATGGAAATATTAACAAATATTAGAATAAACACCAGTAATCTAAGACTTTTTAGCAATTTTTACCGTCTATCCGTACAGAGGCAGAAAAATCCGATGATATCAAAATCAAACGTGGGATCCGACAGGGATGTATACTATCACCCTTGCTGTTTAATGCGTTTATAATGCTCTGTTTCATGTCTTTTTGCGGGCTTGGTCGAGTTTAGTACACTAAGTCCTTCAATCTTCCCCACAGATAAAAGTGCAGACATGTTAAGTCTGGAGATTTATCTGGTTATGAAAATATACTTCCCCTTCCAATATATTTATTTGGATAACTTGCATACAAATAATCTCGAACTCGTCTGGAAAAGTGTGCAGGACACCCGTCATGTTGTAATATCATATCTCTTCTTGTTTATAAGGCAATATCTTTCAATAAAACAAGCAACTGATTTTCCAAAAAATCCAAATATGTTTCGCCATTTAAAGTTCTATTAAAGAAATATGGAGCTACGATCTTTCCATCAACTATACCACACCAAACATTAAGACTCCATCTACCTTGAACCTGCACCTCATGTATCTAGTGCGGATTTTCTTCAGCCCAATAATGCATATTATGCAAATTAACACCACCCGCACTATTAAACGTAGCCTCGTCTGTCCACAAAATCTTTGACATGATATGCGGTTGTTTTTCTAGCGGACCTAACATCCAGTTGCAGTAATCCAGGCTTGCATCAAATTCTCTCTTATGTAAAGCTTGGTGGAGAACTACATGATTAGGATGCAGTCTAAAAAACAGAACAGCAAATATTGGTGAAAAAGAAACCACTATATTTACTAAAACTCAAAAAATCTTGAAAAATCCACAATTGTTTCACAACATAAATCGTGAATAAGTATTTTTAAGAAACGGATAAAAGGATAAAAGCGCCGTGTTGCCGTTTTTATCGGAATAAAAGTTTAAAGGGAATTCTAAATTTCTTACCTAAACCACAGAATAATAAACAACCAGAATGCCCACTCTCCACGGAAAATTAAGTACGCGCATCTCCTTCGCGCAGACGTTCCGCCATGTTTTAGGAGGATTTTAAAGGGAACCAGTGTTGTTTATGTGGTGTGCATGGAAAAAAACAGGTTTATTTGACTTACGGCAATCATAGACATACTATACAATTATATTAACAGTTTTAAATAAATAACATAAATATATATATAATTAAACATAAATGTAAACAATTGCATAACCTCACAAATCATATGTTTGTGTCCTCCTAAAACATGGTGCGCGTGCTGGAAAACTTCAAAGGCGGCATCTGAGAGTGGCCCTTCTGATTGTTTATTATTCTGTGCCTAAACGTTCACTTTATAATATGAAAAACCAACCTGTGATGTTTTACAAACCTAGGAACAGTAGTTTTGGGTATGTTTAATTCTATAGAGATTTGCCGACTACTTATATATGTGGATTCTGTTGAATTAAAGCAAAAACATTGATTGAATTATCTTCGGTCATACCTCTACTACGTCGTTTAAAACAAGGACGATGAAAACTACCAGTTTCTCTTCTTACCTTTCTTTCAAATACTTCTTTGTCATAATGTCTCCTGTCAGGTTATCTTACAAAATATACGTGAAGCAATAGCGGCATTTTGGTGACATTCGAAATAAACTCCAACCATGTCATACAATTCTGCATTTGATATACTCACTACGATTTAATAGTACTGATAAATAATTACTAATATTATCAATATTAATATATATTGAAAATAGTGCAATCTTCAACTAGAATTATAATATAACACTTCTTAACAATGTTTTGACTGCTGTCAATAAATAAACAATATGAACTCCCCGTCAAATTCATTGTCGTAGCCTACTTAGTTTCGAAAAAACT